CCTAAACTTCTTTTGGAAGACGGTCACTTGCTTCTATACAGACAATCAGAAAAATTTCAGAATAGGATCTTCTGTAAGGTGCTTCTTAATTGGTCTGGCCTTTTCTCACTAGATGTGGCAAGGAAAAGGCCTAGCTTTGGATGGTCTCTGTGGCCAATGTTGTCTGTAGTCTCTGTCACATGTTTGGCATGTGGCATGTGGCACATGTGAGCTATTGCCTTAGGGGAGACAAACGAAATACCTGTATCACTTACTTTTCTGCTGCTATGATCACAACACCACAACCAAAACAATTTAAGGAAGAGAGCTTATTTTGGCTTACAACTCCAGAGGGAGAAGAGTCTGCCGTGGACGTATGAAAGCATAGCAGCAGGCAATGGGCATAGCAACAGGAGCAGGGAGCTGGTGGCTTACATCTGAAACTGCCCCAGCCAGACACGGTAAGGCTTTATGCTTTCAAATCCCGCCTCCATTGACATATTTTCTCTAACAAGGCTGCACCACGTAAATCTCCCCAAACGGTACCACCAGCTGGGGATGAAGAGGTCGAACGTCCACGATTGTGTGGGGCCCTTCTCATTCAACCACAATGGCCAAGGGGAGAAAAGAATCAGAAAGGATAATTCAAAGGGTACTCTCTCCTCCTGGGGACTGGGCAGTACAATCACACAGGGCAGAACAACATCTCCAGGCCTTTGCTCTGGGGACACCTATTGGTGTAGACAGTTTTTCCAAGCCCCTTTGGTTGAGCCTTTTAGGCTCATGGCTGCTCAGAAACAGGCTTAGCCTGTCCCAGCCACCAAGGACCTGATGCATCGACTCCAGGTCCCTGTACTTACCCCATGGTGGCGGCATGGAATATCTGAACCTTTCTAGGCCTCTGGGGACAAGAAGCTTTACACCCTCAGACAGTGCCACCCAAAGTTTGTCATCCTGCCATGCAGACCCCTTCCCCTCTTGAGATGTCACCTCCACGAATCCACAGGATGGAGAAGTAGAATCTCCAGTGACCTTTCTTTCCTCGAGTGTTTGTGTGTGGTAATGGCTTAGGCCTGGTTGCTGAATCCAGTCTACCGGGTGTGGGTCCCGGGGTACAGGTATGTTTTCTGCTTTGTCTTTTTTTTTTTTTTTTAAACCAAATTGCTTCTCCTATCCATTCCTCTGTTTTTCTGTGGATTATATAGTGGGACCTATGCTCACTCATTCTCAGACAACGCTGTTCGCATGGGGCTTCCCCATCCTTAGAAACAGGGTGATCATGTGACTCAGGCCTTCTTACAGTATTCACTGGCACCACTAAATGAGAAAGATGTCCGTCTCCTGTCAAGATGGTCACCAAGGACCCCATGAGCCTAGAGATGCTGAAGGCCATCTTCGCTACACCCTGGGGGGAGAGCGAGGCTGCTGGTGGAAGATAGAAGTGAAGGGAAAGTGTTGGAGACAGGCTTGGGCCTGGATTTCTTACCCTTATGAGCTGAGAGGCAGTGTCTCTTTCCTTAAGGGTTTGCCTTGGGTTTTAGACACTAATAGATAAATAGATTCCAAATTGGCAGCCACGACCCTGGACTCTCAAGCAACCCAAGGAGGCCAAAGTCACATCTGTGCCACCCTCTGTGGTCTAGCTTCGTTCAGGAAATTGGGGTCCCATTGCCCCCCCTTAAGTTGTATACAAGTACATAGACTGAATAGTGTTTCTCCCCAAATTCATATATTGAAATCCCAGCCCTCAGGCTTACGGCATTAGAAGGTCTGAGAGAGTGATTAGTTCACAAGAGCTCTGTGAGTGGAACTAGCGTTGTTTAAAAGGGACTTCCTCAGAGGTCCCTTCCTCTTTTTCTACCATGTGAGGGTACTGCATTGAGATGGCAGCTGCAGTCGGACAGTGGTGGCACCCGCCTTTAATCCCAGCACTCGGGAGGCAGAGGCAGGTGGATCTCTGTGAGTGCGGGGCCAGCCTGGTCGACAAGAGCTAGTTCCAGGACAGCCAGAGCTACACACAGGAAACCCTGTCTTGAACAACAACAACAAAGATGACAGCTGCAGTTTGTAAGATAGCCCTTACTAGATCTAATCATGTTGGATCTTATCTTTGACATCCAGTCCCCAGAATTCTGGAAAGAAGATGTCTGTTGTTCACACCTCCCAGCCCGTGGTCCTCGGCTGTAGCAGCTGGTAGGGAAGCTGACACCCCATGCTCCCCAGCAGAGGACTGACAAGCAAGGGTGTTGCTGATTGTGACGGCAAACGAAGAAAGGGCTTAACTTCAGATTTTGTGGGGTCCTCCTTAGCATTTCCTCTCCAGAGACACCACTGATCTTTGTGGTGGGGAAACGGTCTTTTGAGTTGCCATGGAAATGGTAGTCTTTGAGAGCCAGCTCCACAGTCAGATCCTGTGCGGACTGAGGGGACACTGTTCTGTGGCCACCATGAGCCCAGGTCATTGTTTCTGCTCTGTGAGCCCGGCTGATCTGTTGTTAGTTCAGGTGGTTGTCATTTGATTATTTGCTTGGGCTTTTGTTGCTGATACTTTTGACTCTGATTTTTAAAAATAACCTGGTGCTTCTCAAGGCTGGTTTGCAGAAGTGCCCAGCCTCTGGTATAGACTGTGCTCCTTGACCAGCCCTGGGCTTTAGGGTAATCCTTTTGCCTGAATAACTGGCGGCTGGCTGTGGCCAAGCCCGGGTGGAGCTGACCCGGGTGATGGCTGGACGCCAGCCAGGCCTTGCCCTGTCACACACAAACAGCTCCCTTGAAGCCCCTCCACAACAGAAGACAGAAAACAAAGCAGGGAGGCATTGTTAATTTATTTAAGTTTACACAAAATAAAACAAGTTTGTTGTTGTCATATAAAAAAACCCAAAACAACAAAAAAAACAACAACAAACATTTTTGCATATGGGAAGTTTCACAATCTGGGAATGAGCCATAGTACTGGGTTTTCTGAGCAAAGACTCAGAACATTTCAGCTTGATGAGGTGGCCAAGGTGACAGACAGACCATGGACCCCAGAGCAGTGAGACACCAGCCACCACACGCCCCGCTCCAGACTGTGGCACTTGGGACTCTTGCGATACCCACTTTTGTGGCCCATAAAGCCCTGCCAGCCTTTCCCTTTCTCTCCCGTTCTTCCTTGTCTGTCTTCCCTTCACCTCCCATTACACCGCTACCCTCCACATACCGACTTCCAGTAAAACCACGTCCTTCTAGTAGAAAACTACACCCCTCACCTCCTTCAAAACCTACTTCAGATTCCTCTCTTCTAACCAGCGCCCCAAATCCGGGTCCAGTTCACCTCCAGAATGTATTCCCTGGCTGGAGGAACACCCTTCAGGGCTGAGGAGCTGGTCTCTAGTCTGGTCTTGTCACCTGTGTGACTTTACAGTTTAAATAACTCTTAACAGAAAGTCCAAGATCCAAAATGCTTCCTAACCCAGTGTTGTCGAGTGAGGACAAGATGTCACGAGTAGGAAGTTCCACACCGTGAAATCTTGTTTCATGCACCTAATGGCATTTAAAAACTTCGTATAAAATCACCTTCAAGCTGTGTGTATATGATACTATAAAATATAAATGAACTTCATGTTTATACTGGGGTCCCACCCCCAAGATATCTCATTATATGTCCTCAAAGATACCTAAACCTGAAAAGACTCTAAAGTCCAAAACTTCCTAGTCCCAAGCATTTTGGATAAGAGATCCTCAACCTGTATTTTCTTCTCTTTATGACCCCAGTCACCCTGCGTCAACGGATATGTGACAATAGCAGTGGGTGCCCCTGTGCCCCGAAAAGTATGCAGATGCTGTAGAGTGCAAGTGGGGTCACCCTGGGCATGGTCACCCTCAACTCAGGCTGTTTCCACCCATTGAAGACAGCTGTGTGGTGTTGCCCTGGTAAAGTATCCACCCTGGTGAGTAGGGTCTTACCGCAGGGGCGTGAGCCCCTGATTTTTTTGTGTTTATTTGGTGGGCTTCTCAAGCCCATAGCACCAGTCAGGGCTGAGCACGAAGTGGTGCTCAGTCTTAAAGTGAATTGCCTTTGATCAAGTTTTCCTGCATTGATCTGCCACCCACAGGGTGCTGGCAACATCAGGGTGCAGGGTGGTGGAAAAACCCAAGCCCCTTTGTTCATCCTCCGGAACGTGACCTCCAGCCCGAAGGGCAATTCTGGCAGCCTGGCCTGGGGCCCTGGCACTTCCTCGGCAGTGCTGGCCCAGGCCTCAGGACCATCAGCTGAATGATTTCTCATTCCCACTGGACCAAAACTCCCCGCAGAATGGGTGGGAAACATGGCTTTACTTCGGATGAGCCAATCAGATGAGAACCGCTTAGTAGCAGGCAGACACCTACCAGGGTTACTGCTCTGTTAAGAAACCCATTGTGGGATCAACCCCGGACAACTTGGAGGGCCTTTTTCTTGGGGATCACTGTCTCAACTGTGGGACCCTCACTCCCTGAGCTCAGCAATATGCCAATAAAATGACCTGTGACTTTAGCCCCCTCCAAGGGTGCCTGGTGTGCTCTAAACTGTTCTTTCCACAAAACCCATACTAGGTGGTTGCAGAGGTGAGGCAATGCCTCACCCTGTCAGAAAAGGCTACCACGTATACATTATTCAGAAAACACATTCTGAGACTTTCTCTCTACCTCGAACACATCCTCTACCCCCAGGTGCACATAGATACATATTACACTTGACAAAATTCATCTTCTTTTGATAATAACCTAGCCTATGCTCCAGGCAATGCCACCACAAAAGTGTTTGCATAAAGTCAGTTACAATAGAAACAAAACCAGTCACCAGAGGACAGACTTGAGAGCTACCTCAGCTGGCTCTTGTTCAGGAGAGCCCAACCTTCCAGTCTCTCAAAATAGGTCTGCCTCAGGCAGACCCATCAATGGGGTTGAAAACAGCACCCCAGGAGCCTCCCTAGCCCTGACTGACCCCAAAACCTGAAAAAGCCAACACTTTGCTTCAAATCCATCCAAAGAAAAATGCAGAATAAATAACGTGTGCTGCTTGGGAGTTTCCAGCTGTGTGTGGATGCAGCCTTCATGGTGCTCCCCAGAGACTCTGAGACAATCCAAAGGTTCGAACCCCCCCCCCACCTTCCTCTCGTCCCCTGGGCCACAGTGAAGCAGGTACAGGGAGGGGGCGGGACGGTTCTTATCTATGCTTTCTGAAGAACCGAATGAGGGTCACCTCTGCAGACTGGCCGCTCCTAGTGCTCATGGAATCGTGTGTATATCTTTAGTCAAGCGTTGTGGAGTCATGCCTTTGGAAGGGTGGCCTAGAAGAGTGAGAGACGTGGGCAGAGTCCTGGATGAAGGATGTGCACACATGGATGAGGGATGTGTACACAGGGCTCTCTTCTCCCCGAGATACCTGGAAGCCCAGGTTTCTTCCCTCAGCATGGTCCTTGAAACCTCAGCATTCAGGGCTAAGGTCCAACTGTCGCAGAATGTCCTGCAGAGAACCCTGCAGCCTGCTCAGAGCCACCACCTCTGTGGAATAGAGTGAGGCTTCCAGGACACCGCCCAGGCTCTCCAGCTTCTGCATGTCACTGGTCTGAGGCAGGGAGCAGCTCTTGGAGGAGGCCAGCAGATGGAGGAGGTCTCGGAGGTTCTCCAGGTCGTTGGATATTTGCACCACGTTTCGGGAAGGCAGACTGGTGAGGATCTGCTGGTAGACCGCGAGAGTCTGGTCCATCTTGGATAAACTCAGAATGGGGTGGAGCCCAGGAATGAAGTCCAAACCAGTGACCCTCTGCTTGGCGGATACCGACTGCTGTGTGGGAGAAAAGGAACAGCAGATACTCAGCAAATGGCAGGGGAATCCATCTCCAAAGCCCTCCATCCCGTCAGTGAGCCCGGACTGCCTCCTTTCTTCTTCACCTTTCTGGTCTGGGCCCTTATCTCCTGTGCTCAGCTGACTGCTGAGCCACCTAGTTGGTCTCCCAGACTTCTGCTCGTTCCCAGCCACCCCTCCCGTCACTTCTAACTAATTCCTTTCTTCAAAGGACATCTATGAGGGACCAGCCATGGCTCTGTATTCCTTATCCCCACTCCAGATCTCTCCCTCCCGGTGAGATTCTTGTGTAGCTCTCCCTCCTTGGGAGCAAAGTCACGCCTCTCCCCGACTACATTGAATCCGGTTTCCAGGGAGGACTCTTCCCATCCCAGTGGACATCTCTCATTGCTGCCCACATTTCGGTAGTGGGGTCTCCCATGTGTGGCCCTGATGACTACTTTTGAAAGATGATGAAGATTGTGACTTTGAAAGGAGGGTGAGCAACAGGCAGGAGAGCTGTGGCTAAAATGGTTAGAACCTAATGACCCTGCTGTGTAGAAGTGGAGTCACTGGGAGTTCAGCTGCTTATCAGTGCAACACCGGAACCTTTAGGGTTTCTTGCGGTCCTGCATACTAGGATTCCAGGAAGGAGTTTCAGGAAGGAAGGAGAACAAAATAGAAACCAAAGGCTGAGGGGACCAGGAGATAGTGGTCTATAGAGCAGGGGGAGCATGGGTCTCCCTGATGTGAGCCTTACACGCTCAGCTAGCCACTGAGGGCAGGGTTTGCTGCAGCAGAGTGAAAATGAACTAAGTAGCCGTATGATATCACGGAATCTATAATTTCTTCATGGGAGTATATGACAGAGTCAAATCCCTTAAAGTGGCTGAGAATTAGATCCACAGTGAGCTAGCTGTCTAGGTGCTGGATTTAGAATTGGAATCACTCAACTCTGGATTCCAGCAGTCAGAGGGGTCAACAGCCATTACCAGAATGAATGGACACCCTAGGCTTATAAATTCTCAGCTTCCGGGATGTGCCTGGCGCCCAGAAAGTGTTCAATGGGTTTCTCTCTCTGGTTCCAGCCCCACTTCTCCTTTGTCCTCCAGAGTTTCCCTACCGTGTGTGAAATGTCATTGATCCTGGTGACAATGGTCTTGATGAGGGTCTTGGTGTCATCCTGGACTTTCTGGATAGGCACAGCTTGAACATAGGACAGATAGGACCAAAGCCAGAGGAACTGGCACAGGGGTCTCCAGCACATTTTCCTTCCTGGGATCTTCCTGGTCCTGCAAACAGAAGAAGAGCCCAGTATAAATCCATCCACCTGCCCTGCTGCCCACCTGCTGTCAGAAGTGGATGGATAAGATTTGCTTTCTTCCCTAGCCAGCTCCCATATTCTCAACGTCAAAGACAGTTCATTATGGAAGCTAGATTAATGAAATGCATTCCCTTGGGGAGGTTATTGGCAGATCAATAAAACCACAGCGATGCGCCCTATAGATTACAGGGCAGTATTTGGCAGATAGATGTGATGATGATGGGGGCTTCATTGCATGTTTCAAGGGAAACCAACTCTTAAGATCTGGGTTGAATGTAGCAGTTTGCTCCCTGCCTAACTTTAAGGTGTATCACCTAACCACGCAAAACCTCACGTCCCTAGACTCTGCCTATCTCCCAGCTTTCGTGAAGCTCCTTAGCTAAAGCACAAGGAGGAGCTGGAGGAGTTGGGAAGCGCTCCTCTCACTCCTCCATTGTTAGGGACCCGGTGCTGCCTGGCTCTTCCCTAACAGCCTGTTGCTGTCCCATACGACTGACCTTCATTACTGACTTATAAGTTCCTTCTTCTCCCAACGGGAACCTGACTCTTAGCAGCCTTTCTCCCATCAGACAGTGCACCAAGGCTGGAAGCTGCTTCCCACACTCCGGGCCTCAGTGTAACAGAGGGACAGACAAGCTACAGGCTGTTTCAGTGCAGGAAGACAGTGTGAGACATGGCAGGAGCCCAGAGGAGGTCGTCTTGGCTGGTGTTGAAGACGGAGAAGGGGCTGGGACAGTACAGCATGGTTGCCACACGTGTCCAAGAGACCAGAAGTGTAATGGTGTGGAGGAAGGCGAGAACACAGCACGTCTCCTTAGGATGCTGGAAATCTCAGTCATGGAACCATGGGCTTTTAAATTAACACTATGCAGATTCTTGATTAAGAAACACAGGCATAATGAGATGCATGAGGCAGAACGGTAATAAAGTTAAATGTCTGCACGTCTGTAGCCAGCGATCCATGCGAAGGGTGTGTGTGTGAGCTGGAATAATAACGATATCCATAAGTATTAGGATGCCGAGTGTAGGGATAGTAGGAAAACTGCCTCTCCCCATTTGTGCTCTTCCTCATCTGGGTCTTGGTGGGGACGGGTAATGCACTGCCATCCGTTGGTGGTAATATTAGTATAACTCACCTTCTGGCAGTACAGCAAAAATGAGCTCGCTGCTTATATATTATTTATAGTGCTTGCTTAAAGGTACGCTCTTTTTAATCTGCGCTTTCCAGAAGAGAAAACAAATGAGGCTCGGAAAGACGAGCCAACTTTTCCAAAGTCAAAAAGATAAATGGCAGGCTGGGATGTGTGAAGGACAGATTGAAATGCAGCAACTCCCTGCCGCCACCCGCAACTTCACTGTCCAAGGTGTTGGTTATCCTTGGTCATCTGTGACCCAAAAAGTATTAAATGGAAAATTCCAGAAATGAATAATTCATCGCCCTTTAATTGTGCCATGCCGAGTAGTTTATGAAGTCTTGTGCTGTCCCCTCCTGTGCCTCCTGGGATGTGAGGCACCCTCATCCACAGTGGGCATCCACACTGTATATTTTGCTGCTCGGTTAGCAGATCAACCGTCATGGAACCACAGTGTGTTCCTGTTAACCTTTATTTAATTTAATAAAGACCCGAAAGCAAGAACGGGGACCAAAGGATGCATAAACATTCAAAAATTTGCATTCTATGGGTCTGTGCTCCGAGGCATAGGAAGAAGAATTGGTTATAAGTGGCTTAGCCCTCTCACAAGTTTCAGTGAAGTCGTGGACTGTATTCTGCACAGATTAGCGGGGCTGTCAGCTGATCTCCCATTTAGTTCCCTGCAATCCCAATGAAGGAACCAAGTATGATACTTAGGCCCCCGGCTTTAACGGCAGGCTCTGTTTGTGTTGGGTTTGCTTGTTTGTTTCTGTGTGTCCCTGGGCAGGATAGTTAACATCCCAAAATATCTGATCCTACCAGTAAAATGGAGCTAACACTAGCGCTGGCTCCAAAGGCTAAATGAGATTAATTTTCAATATCCCTGCCTATCTTGACTTGTGTCTGGCTCAGGGTTGAGGGAGTAAATGCCAGCTACTTAAAAATTATTGTAATTACTGCACAGAGCTTGAAACGCTCTGGGCAACAACACCTGCAGCTGACCCAGAGTCAGGCATTTGGCCCACGGGCATCCTAACGGGGTACCTGGTGCTTGTGGCTTTTCCCCTGCAGCACAAGAGTGTGTGGCATTCATTTCTAAGATTTATGTGTTGACGACATCCTCCTTCCTTACAAAATTTACTGCCAGATTAACTATGGCCATAGCATAGCTATTTTCACATAATGACCACCCCAAACTATCGGAATGGACAAACAGGTTTACAAGCCGTCTCTCAGCATGGATAATACGCCCCAGTGGATTCTGGCAATAAATCGCAGTGCTTTGAAAACGCGGAATTGAGATGCTGTTGCTGAGTAAGGAGGCCTAAGATGAGAGGCCAGGCTTCTAGGACATGCATGGGGGGCTGCAGAGTGAAGTGGTCACAGCTCCATCCACCATCAAAGCCATGGTAAGAACCGATGACCCCAACAGCACATAACATGCTATGCAACACACGCACATACACAAACACACCAACATGCATGGCCATGTTAGTTGCTCCCAGTGTCTTTTCTTTCTTTTCTGGGTCCTAAGGGAGGTGTGCGGCCATGAAAAAGAACTGCTATACTTGTCAACTTCTTCCATCAGGTGAGTTACACAGCCAAATGTGACCAATTAAACAGAAGCAGCAGTGCCACGTGACCGCTCTTGGCATTGTTTATGGTGGCCCATGCATACCTGGGATTTTAGCATTTGTGAGGCTGAGGCAGGAGAGTTCCTTGTAAATCTTAGGCCAGCCTGGACTACAGAGCAAGATCTGGTGTCAGAGAAACTAAAACCCCAAATAAATAAATAGCATTAATAAATTAAAGAGCAAAAAGTGTCCTTCTGGTGTAAGAATGTATGTCATTAATTGCAATGGAAGCGGGAACGTTAAATAGATTCAGGGTCTTGGTCAACTCTAGGATATTATAATGTCTAAGGACATTAGGACACTATCTGTGTGGTCAGTTAGAATTGGGGGGTGGTTGGAGCTTAGGGGAAAGGGGCCATGAATGTAGTTCCAGAGAGCTGAGGCCACAAAACCTTTCCTTTCTAGGAGTTTCTGAAGTGGTTTAAATGCCTGAGAGTGGTTATAGTCTAAGAGCTGGCAGAGGAATAGCTAAAACGCTGAGGGACACTGTGCCCCTCACTTGGGGACCGTGGCAGTAGAGCTGGAAAGAAGAGGAACCCTGCAGAAGGGCAGGCTGGGCACTGGTAGGCTACCCCACCCTCTACTTCTGCTTCACACTCAGGACACCTCACTTGATAGCTCTTCTGAGGGCCTCCCACCTTCCCCTGCCACATTTCACCTTCCCGATTGCGACTCCCCAGTGGGGCACACAGGAAAGGTAAAAGAACAGAAAGGGGAAGCCCAGAGGCAGCTCCAGGCAGTGACATATGTCTTCAGAAAACAGCCTCAAGACAGGTCCAAGAGACTTGCGGGCCACATTATGGGCCCACCAGTTTCCTCTTTCTGGTCTCACCTGGGTCCTGGACCCCTGACCCCAGTTAGATGATTCTCCAGTGACATCCCTGCAGGACAGTTCCACGCTCCCACTTTCCACCCTGTCCTTCCCTGCAGACAAGACCACCCTAATTTCCCCAAGATATGGCAGCCTCAGATGTGAATACCCTCTCCTTCCCTCCACCCAGGGGACAGGGCAGACCCTTCAGGACAACATGGGTGGGGATGGACACACCTGCTGGCCACTTCTTCAGATCCAGACTGGACGGCAGCAGAGCCCAGGCCAGGCCTGCCCACTATGCAGCAATGGGGGAAATGACAATTAGGGGAGGACTGGGTGACAGAGGCATCGCTGGCTAGGCTGCCATCAGGGAGCTCAGCCTAGCTTCTCCCATACCAGAGGTGAGCAAGAGACCCAGAACACACTCCCTTCTTTCTTCTTGAGTCATAAGGTCTTTATAGATTTTTTTTTTTTTGGTAATCTTTGGTATGCTACTGTGAATTAAATTCAGATAATATTTGGCTAAGGAGCATATGAAAATATCTTAGAAATGCAAATCAAAACCACAGTGAGATATCATCTCGGACCTCAGAATGACTTTTGTCAAAAAGACAAAAGATATCAGATGCTGGGGGTGGGGTGTGGAGAAAGGGAATGCTCATACATTGCTAGCGAAACTGTCAATGAGTACAGCCCCTATGGAAAACACTGTGGAGATGGCTCTAGAAACTAAAAATAGAGCTACTTTATGATCCAACCCGTTCTTTTCTCTGGATAGATATGCACCCAGAGAAAAGAAGCCCAGTACGTGAAAGAGATATTTTGTTTCCCTATTTATAACCAAGATATGGAATCAATCTAAGTGCCCATTGAGGTATGAATGAATAAATAAAATGTGGTACGTATCCACAGTGAAATAGCATTCACCATAAAATAAATGAAATACTGTCATCACAGCAACATGAATAGGAGGACATTATGCTGATCTCAAGGTGGAGAGAGAAGAATAGCAATTCTCAGACCCTCAGAGAAGTGTGGGGAGGGAGGAAAGATGGCTACCGCAACTGAGTACAGGGAATGTTAGCTAGGAAGTATGACTTCTTTAAAAATGTTTTCTGGGGGTTGAAGAGATGGCTCAGTGGTTAAAAGAGCATACTGCTTGCTACTCCAGAGGATCAGAGTTCAGTTCCCAGCACCCATGCCGAGTTGTTCACAGTAATTATAGAATTATAGATCCAGGACCACCATACGCCTCTAGACTCTGAGGGCACCTAACTTTCTCTCTCTCTCTCTCTCTCTCTCTCTCTCTCTCTGTCTCTTCTCCTCTCTTAAACATACCAACTAGGGTTTTTACTACATTTATTTCCTTAAACTAAATCTTTA